AAAAAACATAGATGATGTTATTTGATGACATTTTTTTTCAATGGAAGAAGAAAAATAGGAATTCAAGTATTATCATTATTTAAGTTAACAATACCTAATAATTGTTTGCATACAATTTGTTATTAAACTTAGTTATATGTACATACATTTAGTTAGATATTTAAGTAATGTGAGAATTTATCAATTAATGTAGATTTTACTTTAAATGACCAAGACTTCAAGAATCTTTGTTTCATAAAGCTTGAAAAACTACTTCAAAGCAATGAAAGACCTCTAAAAAAGTATACCTATATGCAAATTGTAGAAGATCTACTTTTTCGTTTGGTTGAAAATAAGTTCGAGGTGGATGAATTTAATTATAATACAATTGAATTGGTTGAACAACATAGCAAATTTGTACCTTCTTTAACATCTGAGCAAAAGTTGTTTACCATGAAAGACTAATCTCAGTAGTCAATCAATTTGATATTTTTTTTCCTTCTTATACGAATATGAAGGAATATGGAAAACTTACATTTAGAATACTTTATCAGTAGCTTTTTGATATGAAAGGAAAGATTGTTCTGAATGGAGCTTCAAGTGGTTTACTTCTTTCAGGAGAAAGGGCAACTCATTCAAGATTTTTAATTTCATTATTAAATGATGTTACCTCCATGTGTAGCATCAAACAAAGATGTTTGAAAACTGATATCTTAATTAATACAAGTTTGATCATATGCGATGAAACTCCTATGCTTAATAAATTCTATTTTGAAGCTCTGGATACATAAGAGATTTGATGAGAGTAAAAAATTTAAATAGGATGAATAAACATTTTGGTAGAAAAATTATTATATTAGGAGGATATTTCAAACAAATTCTTCTCGTCATTTCAAAAGGTAGCCATGAAGATGTCTTTTCATTAACTTCAAACTCTTCTTATTTATTGCAAATTAGTAAAGTTGACAAAAAAATATGAAATTATAAACGATTATAGAAAATGCTTCTAATATAATTGAGACCAAGCTTTTTGCAGATTTCATTCTTCGAATTAGGGATGAAAAAATTGACGTTAATGATAACAAAATTTGTAAACTTAAAATTCTTAAAGATTTTTTTATTCTTTAAAAGAGACAATAGTCTTATGTATTTAGTTAATTTGCATATCTAAATTTAGTAAAAAATTGTGTTGATTTTAAATTATTTAAACATAAAAAAATATTAGTACCTACTTTAGAAAATATTTGAAAAATAAATGAATTCATTCTATCTTTGAAAGCTTACAAGTTGAGAAAAAAAAATTACTTAAGTTTTTATTCAACTTATTTATCTATAAAAATGACAAATCGAAAGATGATTGATTTACAACATATTTTTGAATCTATAAATTAAAAAATAACTAATTTTTTGTATTTTATAATAATTCAACAATAACAATTTTGTATACATTAATAATTTTTATAAAGGCTTATTGTTTTAAAAAAAAGATTTATCAAAATTATTGTAATGAAAAGATATATCTAATGTGTATATATATATATATATATATATATATATATATATATATAAAGAATGAAAGGAATAAAACTCTAAAGAAAAAAGTTTAATTGAATATATCAAAATTAAATGCATTAAACTTAAGTGAATAAACCTTAATTAGGAATAATTAATGTGACATTATTGATGTATAGAATAAATCCATAGACTGGAGACAACATGATGGAGAGTATATGCTGACTTTGCTTCCTACCCCACGCAGCTTACGCGGGGAAGCTAATGGGCGCGTGGAATGCCCTGCATTTCCTCATCCTCAATAATCAACATTAAACCTAAATAACTAAATAGTATCTACATTACGACAGAGGATGCAACTAGACAAAATATAAAATACAAACAAATACCAAAAACATTATTAACAAAACCATGGGTTGAACTTGAACGCCTTTTCATCTTTCAAACAGTTAAGGGTGTTTTGTGCCTTTTCAATGCTTATCTTTTCTTTTCTTTTTCAGTCAGTATATGAGTAGAAAGGAACACTTTATCTTAACACTCTTCTCTCTGTATACAGCTGAAAAGAGTGTGTGTGTGAAAATAAGATATATAATTAATGATATGATAAAATGAAAAAGAAAAAGAAAAAGCAGAAGGATTAAGCTCTGGGTTGTATTAGTGCAGCTGCAACAGTGTAAGAATGATTGGATGAAAGAAAATCGTGTAGTAAAGCACCTCATGTATATGTAGTGCGCTAAATCATGACCCAAAATTATGTAATGGACATTACATATTTGCTGTTTATTTTTACATGTTTTTCATCATTCATGCTCAGCATGGAATAATTGTAAACAAAAGTAACCAATAAGTTCATATTTTGAAAATTAAATCAAAGAAATACAATTTTTAAATTAAAAATATTATACAAATAAGTTATTTTAATCATCACATATCATTATTTTAGTAATGATTTAATTAACTAAAATATTATTTTATATTACGTGTCAAAATTTTATTATATCACATGAATTAGAAGTGTTAAATTAAAAAAAATTCAAAAATATAAATGCTAAAACCATATTTAAATCTCTAACAATTGATTCTGAAATCATTACAAACGAACATTTTGTGATGATGCATCGCTCGATGGATCTCTTCCATGAGTAGAATAATTTCGATTTCTTCTTTTCTTTTTTCCTTTTTACAACAAAAAAGAAAGTGGCCCGAAGAAACGAAACTTGTCGAGTTTCATCGAAATTCTTATCGTAATAAAACAATTCCTTTCCTTATGAACTTTGTTTTCATATTTTTTATAACTCGGAAAACATTTTATTTTCCGTCCAAAATTGAAAGATGATGATATGAGTAGATTATCATGATTATAGCATGTGGAGGAAATTTTCCATTACTTCTATAGCATATATCCATAAGGAGTTGATGCATTGATTTGATAGTAGATCCATAAGGATCTGAGTTCCAAGCTTCTAATTCATTAGATTCTGATAAGGGTTACGAGTTGTTGATGACAATAAGTTATAAAATTTCAACAAAAATTTAATAGTATTAATATTCTAAGCCTTTAATTATAATTTTTTTAAATTATAAAAACTTTGTTGTAAGTTATAAATTTACTAGAAATTGAATAAAAATTTGAATATATTATACATGCGTAATTTAAGCTTCATTTTTCATATAAATTTAATCATATACTTTCTTTTATATACACATATATAAACCTCTTAATTTGAGTTATAAATAAACTCTTTGTTTTTCTTTAATAAATAAATAAAATTAAAGTTATATTAATATAACTATTTTAAAATTTAATAAATTTTAAGAAGAGTAAATATATTTTTATTCATAAAAAATTATATTATATCATATTAAATTAAAAATTAAGAAATGAATCATGAAAATTTTAAATTTAAATTAATTTAAACATATGCAAGAGAAGCATGCAACATAACGAGGAGGATAATTATTTTATTTATAAATATCCTCACTTTAGAGATTTTTCTCATTTAAATAGTTTAGAAAAGCTTTATCCTGTAAAAAAGACGATTCACGCTTAATATATAGAAATTTACAAGTAAATATATAGTTATAGTTAGATTAATTATCAAAAAATATCTAAATCATAATATATATATTATGGTTTGCAAATGTGCTAATATCTGATTTATAAATTATGAAAAAAGGTGTAAAATTATTGATATTAAGAATTTATCAATTCTTATATATTAAAGTCGTATCTCACTCTTGAGAATGTGACCTCTAATGGTTTGGAGGGTAGCGTAGGTGTGAACCGTCAAGGAATGGATTAATGGTTTCTCCGGTTTTGTTGGGTGCACCAATAATCTTCATGCACTAAGCACTACGTTGAGTATATCTCATATGAATATGAATGTTCTACTTCATCAATTTCACTCTCAACTTGTTCAAACATGGAAACGTTACTACTCATAGACAACATGCCGCCCATCCTTTTGGATACTAGGTAGTCCTTATCTGCTTCAAAAAGACTTGCCTATGTCCCATTGTTTGAGTAAACTTTTTCGTAAATTATTCTCATAAATTAAAACTAATTTATATACATTTCTTTTAATTTTTTAAAACATATTGATAATTATTTCTTATAACATATCCCTACTCATCACGGCAAAATTTGCGCTGCTTTTGTTGGCAACTCTGTGGAGCTCTCCTCCTCTAGGCCCGAGCCTTCATTTTCATTCCGATTTTTAGGGATTGGTCTTTTGTAGAGGGTATCTTAAAGGGGAAAAAATAGTTCCAGAGCGACATCCCAAATTTCAAACACCCTTCATTCTCTGCGATCGACCATAATAAATTCAAAGAATTGATGTTTATATATGTTGATTTTTTTTAAATACCTCAACATGCGAATGGGTGTAAATACCACTGGTAAATAACATGGCTTTACCGTTTACTATAAATGCGTTTTAATAACACCTGCTCTACTTAAATTCGTATAAAGTAACATACATTAATATATTCGTATTCTATTCAAACAATAAATTATTATGTTGAAAGGTATTGTGTCCTATTCGATCGCTAATTTCACTCTAAAATTCAATTTAGTTATTATATAACATCATTTTAAAAGAACCTATTGTTTTATAAAATCTCTACTTCCTATACAATAAAGAATTTAAAAGGAAAAGTCAACGGAATAACTTCGCCGTCACCATCGGAATTCAATTAGATGAATACGTATTTAAGAAGCGGGATAAATGTAAGGGTCCAAAACAATAACATTTTTTCACCACGGTGATTCTGTAATTTTCCTTTGAATGTGCTTGTAAAGACAGAGGTGAAGTGCTCAGATCTCCATACATTACACCAAAGCTTTGATATGGTACTTGAAAATTAGTTGAATTTTTAACACTTCAATATTGTTCGAACTGATTTGAATATATTACTGTGAATCAAGACACTGTTTCAATGCGTCCGCAAGATATAGGAAAACAGAAGAATAGAAACATACTTGTACAACAAAAACTCCATAGCAACGATTTCTTTCCTCTTTTTTACCCCTAATTGTTAAACTTGCATTATAACTATAATAACAATCTACCGCTTCTTTTTATCTGAGCCTCTCCTTTCTGCCTCTCTCTCAGCAACCAGAACACAAAACTCAGAAGCAAGCATCTCATGTATATCAAGATTCAGAGAAAGGCTTAGATCAATAATTCCCTTGATGATTTCCAATGTAATATTGAAGCCCAAGGTCGATAATACTCTAACAGCATTAGCAGCCCTGCATATGTATTTTCTTGTCTCCAATGTTGTGAAACTTTTCTCTTGTTCTTCAAGACCCTCAGAATTTTTATTGGGAAATAGAACTTGCTGATCAGATTGGTTCACTTGGTCTTCTACCATGTCATCTCTGTCTTCAATATTTTCCCCAATCCATATGAATCCATTGCAGCCAAGTATCAAATCAATACCATACTGCTCCAGATAATGGAAATGTTGTTTCTGTCTCTTAACTAAATAAGGTGGGATTGTAAGCAGTTGACCTCTACTAAGCTGCCAATAACTGAGAGCCGTTAGTAACAGTACAAGATTGAAAAATATGTAATCTGAATAAATTTTAAGCAACATGAATGTTTTGTAAACACCATGGCAACTATTTACCATTATTCCAGGATGTTTTTGTTATATCTTAATCATAAAAAGGTAGTTGGAAGCTGTGTAGTTTTATATCTATAAGCAACAATACTCATCTCAAAGAGTATTTTTATTTTCTATCGTTTCCTACTTTATGCAACTGGCATCACTTTTTGAGGTAAAATCAGAAATAAAGAAAAAGTAATATGATTTACAAGGATTTTCAAGACTACAAACCTTTCCATATTTCTGACTTCTGGCTTGAAGGTGTAAGCCATCGTGTTGGAAGCCACGAACTTCAGCCTAAGGTCATGCATATTATTTGGGACATCAATCAACTGTTGTATCCTTTAATCCAACGTAAATAATATTTAGTATACACAATACAACTGAACTTACACAAACAACATCCTTCTCCTCAAAAATACAGCGCATATTTAGCTCATCTATAGCTGTTCTCCGCCTCTAGCAGTGGAAAGAATAATTCTGAATGAGGAGGTTTCAAGCTTAATCGGAGCAGAGATTATGATATAGTAAAATGCAAACCAAATGGCAAGAACTCCAATCGAGTACTTTTAGAACTGAAAGTAATAATGTATGAACATTTCTTTTGGTTTTTATCAAAACTTTGAAGGACTTCTAGAGTACTTTATAATTGATATTAGCATTTGCACCCCAAACCTTGATTTACTGATTTCTTTTAGCTTAGTTTCTTCAACAATTAGGATTTCTTCATAGAAGCTTAAAAAATTACAACTCAAATTAATTTATCCCCTTCGTGAAGAAAGACATAGATGTAAATACACAATTGAGGTCATAAATAATATTTTTAGTGTAACTAACATAATATCAGTATAGATTTCACCAATATCCAAACAACAACAATAATAACCAAGCTTTATTCCACTAGGTGAGATAGGCTACACGAATCACACGATGCCAACTAAATTGTCAGAAATCGGGTTAAAGTTATTGTTAGCACTGCACCCCAGGCATTATTCCACAAGGTCAGTCCAACATTGCAAAAAACTCCAGAGTCAGCATTACCGATATAAAAATCATTCAATAACCATACTCATTATAAAGTAGTGATAATCTACACACAAGAGATCCCAAATGATTAGAAGAAATAGATTTATAACAGAAATTACAAAATACATATCTGCTTCCTGTTCAGTGTTAATCAATTCTTCCATTGGACAACAAGGCGACGCCTTGGCTACAACTTGATACAGCAAAAAATCCATCAATACTTCCAATTCTACCACAGTGGCCCAAAATTAGCTGTCATCTACTATGGGTGTGTTTGGAGAAGCATTGAAAACAAGCACATTTATGGTTAGAGCTTTTCCTTTCTCTTTTTTATTTCCTCCAGAGATTACTCTTCCTAACATCCAAGAATCGAAGTAAAACAGTTTTTTCCTTCACCATTTCTATAAAAAAATTATCTATTCATCATAACTCTTTATACAAATGTTTTTATTATTTTCCCAAAGAAAGAACAAGCAAATGATCCTAAATTTTCTAAAAGAGAGGCTTGCAAGCTATGCATATTACAGAAACTCTTCTTATAATAATTTACAGTATATCCCCAAAAGGAAGTTACTTAATACCTGAACACCATCAGGCATATTCATAGAAGAAAGCATCAAAACTGCGTTTTGACTGTAATTTATCTCCAACCTCCAACGCTTCTGAGCTACCTACACACACAATAATGAAAATGAAAGAACAGCAATAAAAACAGCGCGTTTTCAAACAAACGCAGCGAAACTGCAGGTACTATAAAACCGCGCGTACCTCAACAACACGCCCTATAACGATGTCACCAACCTCAGGTTTATACCTACAATAATTCACTACATTGCATTAACGAAAGTAATAGCAGAAATGAGGGGAGAAGTGAAGAAGGAAGATTACCTGGAGCGTAACGCGCGGACATAAACGAGCTTGTTGACGCGCTCGACGATGCCGCAAACGGTGGCAACCACTTCGCCGTTAAGGTCGGTGGTTCCATGTCCCTTGAGAACGCCGTCTTCGTGATTGACGGAGATGGAATCGGCTACGGTAACGGAAGCTTCAGAGTTCACCTTTGATGACAGAGACTCTAGTTGTTGCAGAGCTTTCTGAAGCCGAACCTTTTGGGTTTGGCTCAACGGTAACTTTATCTCTCTCATCTTTCCCTCCCTCGTTTGCAGTATGCAATAGAAGAAGAAAACCTAAACCGTTTTTTTCTTTTTTAAAAAACCTAAACCTCTTTGTTTTTTTTTCCCGGTTCAGAGCCACTACCTCTTTTTTTTTTGTTATTAATTATTACTACCGAGCCTCTAAGCCCACCCAGTTAAGTAGGCCTTCTTGTAACGGACTCCAATTGTACTCCACTTTGACAAAAAAAAAGAAGCTATAAATTAAATTTTAGAATTGATTTATAAATAACTTCAAGAATTTAATTTTTGGAATGTACGAATCACTTTCAAAAATTAAATTTTGAAAGTCATTGTATTTTAAAACATATTTTTTAAGTAATTATGTATTAGTAATAAGACTTCAAGATAAATAATATTGCACATATCATGGTATCATATTTATATTTTTTGTTTTAAAATATGTACTATAAAATATACTTTAATTCTAATTTTATACATCATCAATTCTTTCAATTAGCTACACATAATATTAAGATTAATAAGTGAGGTTGATTTAGTCTTATCCTAATTTTGTCAAGTTTTAATTGGGTCGGGTTTAATTTTTAAAAAAATAATCATAAAAAATTTCAAGTTGGGTACGAGCTAAACTTGTCTCAACCCACTCAATGTACACCCCTAACATCATGTATGTAACAATTGAGTCAGAAAAAATGCACCATGAATCTAAATAGCTAAATAAAAAGAGAAGAACAATAAGCATTACAAAAATGAATGTGTTTGTTTATATTGACCAAATATGTTCAGAAGAAAATGTAATAAAGTTAAGCTAAATTATAGAAATTTATTTGTGTACTACATTTGAAGTAATATTGAAATTGTGTCATTCATTGTTTTATCTTTAATCCTTTACTATTAGTGAGATATAACTAACTATAAAAAAAATACCTATTTTGGAAAGTATATGCCAGTATGTTTGGAAAATTGTCCTTCACTTTTACTAATTGTCATTACAAAAGAAATAGCTATAAGAATTACCTTCTTTAAAATGTAAAAAGTATTTTATCATCTAACAGTGTGTAAACAATAATCTTGAAATAAAAATTTTCTTCCCAAGATTATTTCCACAGAGAATTTTTGCTTCAAACAAATCAATATCCATTTGAGTAATTACTAAATGAGTACCATTCTACTTGGTAGAAAATTGATTTATGTTCCTTAACAACATTATAGGAACATTGATTTTGATTTTTAATTGATGAATAGGAAGCCCAAAGGAGTTTATAGTGTTTATGAACTCCAGAAGATGAATATTATTAGGTTTGTTAAATTCATTGGTTCCTAGATATGGGCTATCAAATCTAAGGTAAGTTTTCTCTTCTCCAAGCATCAAGAAAAGCATATGATTATTTAACATATCAACTACTGCATTGGTGGGTTGTAAAATGGCACGATTATGGAAAAATAAAAGATATTTGATGTTCTCCAAAAAGATGGATAATTATATTGCATAATTGAAATTAATGGATCACTTTAATCCCTTATGAGTCATAGGTGTTTTCCCATAAAAATAAATAAATTTTAATCAGGATCAAAATTAAAATTTTATAAAGAATTTTATATTCTCTAATAGTTAAATTATAACAGTGATTTATAAATAACTTTTAGAATTTAATTTCTAAAATAAATTAAAAAATTTTTAAAAATTGAATTATAAAAAGTAACACAACCAGTGAAAATCAATAGAGCAAAAACAAGCAATATTATATTAACTTACAAAAACTGTTTTAGCTTAACATGCAGTTTTAAGTTTAAATTTTAATTAATATAGATGTATTAAATATTTAAAAGGAAAACTTTATTTATCCATACTTAACAAGCTTTATTAGTGGACGATCCTTGTAGTCTAAATAAATAAATAATAATTTTTATTTTATACTAAACAAACAACCATGTATGATAAGAAAAAACTATTTTACTATTTTTTTTGTTAGAAACAACCATGTGGTGAATAAAGATTGTAAAAGCAATAAAGTGGCAGGAGAAAAAAGGGAAGGAACTACTCGAAGGAGTTAGAAGGACAGAAAAGTAAGAGAGAAAAAAACACTCAGAACAAGGTCGGGTATAATAAAAAGAAAGTTCCATAAAGTTCCATAACGTTGCTGATACTTTCAACAATTTGCTTGTCTTTTTTTAGCTTTTCAGCCTTGTTTTTGTTCTCAATTGTACCCTTGACCAAGAAACAAATCCATATTTTTGTATTCATTCCAGAATGTTACACTTCAAAACGGAATATCTACTTTTCATCATATTAGCGAAAATACTAATGTTTTAAATTGATATATTATGTAAATTGCATTATATTTATAAAACTTCACATAAATTCCTTCCTATTTTATAAATATATTACAGTTGAATCTTCTATTGTAGTAATTCAAACTTATGACATACTTAATGATAAAAAATTTATTAGTTTAAAACAATATAATTAAAGAAAGAATAAGATAATATAAATTGTCGTACCTTAAATAATAAGAATTAATTTTAAAATTAATGTAAAAAACTTAATCAATCTTGCTAGCAATATTTTTTGAACTCCGTGAGTCTGTTCTGATTAGACTCACCGAAAATATACCGGTCAAAAAATAAATTAAAACTTAAACAATATAAAAAAAAGTGTTAAACTAAAATAATAACCGGCATTGATATTTAATTATTTACTTTGTCACTTTTCGCCATTTATTTTTCGTATTTTAATAACAATTTTGTCTGAAAAAAAAGACCATTACGTTCTTAACGAGATCGAGTAGAGCCAGACAAACACCAAAGTGATCCTAATTTAAATTTTTTTGTATTACTTTCTTTTTATATTTACGTTTACGTTACCATTTTGATATTTTTATATCACAATTAATGTTTTTCATTTAGCTCTATCCTGGTTCTTTTATGGTAACTCTTTTTATAACAAAGATTACGGGAAAAAATCGTCCATTTATCATGAAAGGCAACGCGGGAATAACACAAAATAATAAAGTGCGGAAAAACATAAATTTATAATAAAATTTTTTATACAAATTTTTTGATACTTATTTTATAATCAATTTGACATTAAATAAGAGAGTGAAGAAAAAAGTAACGTAAAATTAAGCATCGTCATATTCATGATTGGATTCATTCGTACCCCTAGCGCGCATCTCCACATAGAGCTCGCAAGTCCCGACACAACTCAACGTAACGATTTACATATTCAACACACGAAGACAAATTTCTCAGGCCTAAAAGTAAGACATTTTCCTCATTCTCCATCGTCCAACGCGTACAACCACCTCTGGTTGAGACCCACATTCGACGACACAAACTAAAACCAAGTCTATTCTCCGAAAACAACAAAACAAGCAACCCAACTCACACACGAAACTATAGCTAGTAGTAGCACACAGCATTCATTGCCTAAACTCATGACTTGAATCGAGAGATATATAGTATCAGAAGAAATAAGAGGAGCTCCCGAAATAAAAAACTTCAGGCTCTGCTGCCACATTAATATTCTCTGACACTGATGCCATCTCGCTCAACACTGGACTCCTATGCATGTAAAAATTATCCTCAACGTTGTGCTCCCAATAATAACCGCTATTATAAAACCCTTGATTCTGCTCCATCTCATAACCCATAGAGCTGGTAATATCCGGTGGCAAAGGAGGAAGCTCTATCGTGCTACCACTACTATTATTATTGTTATTATTATTATTATTATCATCATCGAGAAACACCTGTTGGCTGAAATGGGAACCTGCCACGCTGGCTGCAGCAGGAGCACCTTGGGTACTATATTGGTCGCCGTGTCCATAACCGTACGAGAAAGAACCGGACGCAATCCCGAGGAGGCCGACCGGGTCGAATGTTTGAACCGGGTCGGGTTGTTGGGGAAGAGGGAGAGGTTGTTGGTCGGGGGAGAGGATTGGGGTGACGGATGAGCCAGGTGGAGTGTCCACGTAGACAAAGTTGGTGCGGGCACGTGACCCGCGCATGGAGCGTGCTGCCCTGTCGTATGCGAGGGCAGCTTCCTCTGCGGTGTCGAAAGTGCCCAACCAATGTCTCTCCTTTGTGGAAGGGTCTCGAATCTCTGCCGCATACCTTCCCCATGGCCTCCTCCTTACTCCAAGATACCTTCCTCCCCATGCCGTATGCTGGACCTCTTGTGTCGTTGTCGTTTGCTTCTTCTTCGCCTTAGACGACGTCTTATATTGGTTCATCGTTACGTGAATAAGGTTTAACTAATTAAGGTTGGAAGTTGGGAGATAGGAAAAGACGATGGCATGCAGGAACAGTAACAGTTGCTTGGTGAAACGAGGTGTTTCCTTTCTCTTTTGCTTTGGTGGGTTTGTTTTGTTTTGATGTGAATCCACGGTTTAAATAAGAGAGACCCCGGTTCCCATAATTCTCATTTTCACCCTCCATTTCTCTAATATTTTCCCACCTATGCCCTCGCTTTTACGAATGAATGTAAACACGTGCCAATATGTTTTTTTTTTATACTTGAAGCTTTATCCACATTCCACACAGTCTCTTTCATAATCTTCTGCAGTGGTCTCATAATTGAGTAATCTAATGTAGTAATCTATCAGAAAGGGAAAAGGAGAAATGAAAGGGCAGCAAAATCGATCAGCGACTTTTCAAAGGGGTTCAAGCATCCACAAAGTGCATATTATTACGTAAATTGCGGGTTTATTAATATTTGTCGATAAAAATTATGCAGTTTTTAAATTTTTTTAATATTTAAATGAGTTTTGGTGATAAGAAATGAGTTTCTAATGATGGGAGAAAATAGGAAGGCAATAATAAAATAATTAGCACACAGGAGAAGGATAGATAATTATAAAATTAGTGGGTGGCATAATTAGAAATCCAAATGACCATTATAAGCATGTTCTCCTAGATACCCCATTCCATGATTATTCCCTAATCAAATTAGTTATGCTTTGTTTTGATTTCGCCAACGTTAAAGAGAAATTTAATATTATGCCCAGTACATATAGGAATAAGCCCCGTGTAGTCCAAAATTGGTGCATGTGACCTTTCTAACAAATAATGGGATTGTACATGAACGAGGAACTGATCGCAAAATAATCCCAAATAGACACTCCACACACAATCTATTAAGATATATAGAATCCGTAAATATGTATTTTTATCTGCAACTCTTTCTCATTATTTTTTATAAGCCCACAGGAGGAAAGAAAAAAAGTTCATATGAATTGATCAGTTGCACAACTGACTATCATTGCAGGTGGTAGGAGCTCCATGCCCTTTTCGATGATTAGCCTAGAACCTAAGATCTTTTAGAATAGATTATAAGTATTTATCATTAGTAATTATGTGGGTGCTATGCCCAATCTATTCATTCTTCATTTGGTTGCATGCTTAGGAAGCATGCTTCTGTTCTGATCCTTTTTTTTTTATTATTTATTTATGATTTAATGTTGTGAAAATGAACTTCAAATTTTTATGTTAAAAATTTCTCATTTTCCCCTTCGCTATGTTGATCAGCTAATGCATGGAAAATTCTTTTTATCTTTTAAGGAAAAACTAATAAATATTTCATATGTTGTACAATTGTTTTTTATTTTAAATGAAATTTACAATATATATATAACTCATATGAAGAAATACAAATATATTTATTTTAGATTTGGCGATAATGAAAGTAAAAAATGAAAATTTTAACAGTATGAGTGGCTGAGATTTGAAATAAAATAAAACGTTTTAATATAAGAAAAAATAATTAAAAATAAGATTTAAGAAAAATGTCACAACGTAAAAAAAATTAAAATAAAAAGTACTTGTAAATTTTTAATAAATATAAATAAATAAAATTATGTGTCATATTAAAATTATTAATAATATTATAAAACAGGTCTTCTTGTTCAAGATCAAAGATTTTATAAGAATAAGTTTTTCTCTTTATGTACTCCAGACCGTTCATTTGAAACAATTATGAATCTTACCATGTGTACGCTAATCTTCGTTGAAAGTAAAAACTGTTTCAGTCTACCAAAATCAAACATAGTTTAATGTCCTTTAGTGAAATAAAATCTAATTTTTAGAATATAAACATCGTATTTATTTTTGCTTTTTAATTCTTTTATATATTCTTGTATTGCGGGAATATAATTAAGGTTCATTTATGATGTTTGATTATATTATATTATAACGTCCAATTGCACACAATCCTAATTACACAAATAATTAGAGATGGTCAGTTAAAAATTATCATTTACTGGAATATATATAATGGTCTGATTGAATGCAATTCCTTATTGCAGTTAAACCTATAAAAAAAATATCTTTTTTATAAATATATATATATATATATATATATATATATATAATGTCTTTTTTTAACTAGTAATAATTGTATTTTTATTTTTTTATTATTTCTGGTTTCTTCATCTTTCTTCTTTTCATCCGTTTCACTCTGGGTGTGAATGATACGTTTGAGGAAGCGATAACTTCCAAGGAAATTTTAGTAGCTTAATTATTAGAATATTATTATCGAAGTCTAACTTATATATAACCTTTTAATATAATAATAGGGCGTTAAGGAATGTCATTACTCACCCATGTGAAACCAATTTGAGCCATAAAGTCAATGATAAGCTCCACAGTCTTCCCTTCCTTTTATTAAAAAAAGTTCACTTTTTTAGTATATTCATATTTAATTGTTAATATTTTCTTCGATAATTTTGCAAAGTTTGGAGCTACCATGCACATCCTTTAAATTTTATTTCAATTACGTTAACAAATATATAGAAAGAAAATCAAAGGCGAAGCCTTGTGGGCAGCATGTGAGAAAAACAAATATGCGTACCTTTCTTGAGGAAAACAATGCCTAGCTAATTCTTAATTATCCAAAAACTAATTGCAACTCCTAGTAGTGGGACTTTGACCAAATGTCTCGTACCTAACCGTGTTCTTAATTATATCACTATAAAGTAAACATAAATTTACCAATTAATAAATATTGTAACATTTTTATTAATGTAATCTTGTGATTTAGTTTCACTCTAATGAGTTTAATAGTATTTAGGAATTTTTTTTTTAAGTTATAAAAGTCCTTATCAAACTTTCGTGATAAGGAATAGACTACATTTTTCTGAAGAAAAATATAATATGAAAATTGGTGGTATTTAACAAATTTTTCGACTAAAATAAAAGCAAACCCTAAGTTTCTACATCTCAATAACCATGAACATATGAAAATTTCTAAGTCCTAAAATTTTGTCCAAGAAACTACTCTCTGACACGTTTTCATGAAGACTGACAGAAAAGCTTCATTCTTTGCCGAAAAGAAAGTTACATTTAGAGGAGTTTTAAAAAGTCATGAGAAGAAACTTAATTTTTGTTGAAAAGATGATCACCTTTTGAGGAGTTTTGGAAATTTTTAACCTTCAAAACATCCAAAACTTGTCAAAAAAGAAATTGACATGAGAAATTATTCTAAATCTACGAGATAAGATGGAGCTCATGGATTTTTTCAAAAAATTTGTTGAAACATGAATCGACAAAAGAAATTATTTTAAGTCCATGAGATAAGATAGAGCTCATGGATTTTTCCAAAAAACTTGTTGAAACAGGAATCGATAAAAGAAATTATTCTAAGTCCACAAGACAAGATGAAGCTGATGAATTTTTCCTAAAAACTGGTCGAAATAGGAATCAACAAGGGAAATTGTTCTAAGTCAACAAGACAAAATGAAACTTACGAATTTTTTTTGAAACTTGTCGAAAAAAGAATTGACAAGGAGAATTATTCTAAGTCCACGAGATAAGAGATGGAGCTTACAAATTTTTCTTAAAACTTGTCAAAATAGAAATTGACAAAGGAATTATTCTAAGTCCAAGAAACAGGATGGAACTCGAAAAGTGAAAAAAAGTATTGGAAGAACTATAAGATTTGAAGTGATCACCAAAACAACAGTTATCAACGATTACCACCAGTTAAAGGTTAGAGACACGAAGAACCAATTATGGACAACAACGATTATGGAGAAGGCACGATCACGAGCGATTATGGATAATGGGCAGCAGTGGTTGAAGACAAGGACGTGTAAAATGACAGTTATCAAGAAACCTACAAAGGAGGAGAACGGTTGAGATACATTTGCCTATAAATAGTTTCAAACTTTACATTATGGAGGACGACTTTTTGCATTACATACTTGCGCCCAAATTCTTTACATACTGAAATTCTGCACTGAGTCATATACTGGTTACCAAAGAATTCATAGTCCTTTGTTATTCTTTGCTTAGAGTCGTATATTTACATTTCTACAATTTACTTTTTGCAATTTTATTCTATTTCAGTTTGTTTTTGTAATTATTTTACATTCAATTCAATTCAATATTACTTTGTTATCTTTCTACTTCTATTTAATTTCTTGTTGCATAATGTTATTTTATTCTCACATTAACACACTTAAAAGAATTTAAAAGGATCTAAAATTTAGTTCTATATTATTTTTAAATTTATTTATTTACCAATTATAATTTTCATCGTAAACAAATAGTAATGAGCAAAAATAAGTTATTATTATGGTAAGTAAGGGGTTGAAGCTGACGAACGAGTATTTGTAAAAACATTTCAATACTTAAGATTGTATTTATATTAATAACGTAATTAATAACAAGTAATGGATTACAGATCTTACACATTGACATTGGCTAATTATATACATGGTTTAGACGCATGTGACACACGGTCAAGGTACTATAGCGAACCCTTGTTATATATATAAGCACATAATTGCAAAAGATTTTTAACTGCTGAGACATGTGTGATCCTTAATTGTAATGTTTGTAATGAATACGCATGAAATATTAGAAGCACAGGCACACTTGATTTAATGAATCTCAAAGTAAAGATGTAAACAAATTAGATGTCAATCGTTATAACGTTTTGAACCCTATTGAGTAGTTCAGATCATCTAATTAAATTACACACACACATATACATATACATATACATATATATATATATATATATATATATATATATATAAAATATAAAATTACACTAATTAACATTTAATATATTAATAATATATGTTAATTTTTTATATCAATAAAATTATCTATTAGTATACATTTAATATTATCTATATTAATAGTTTATGTATCGTTAAACAAAATTATACTAAAAGAAGTTAACGTTAATCAATAGTATTTTTCTTATTAAATAATTATAAAAATATGT